CCGCCGTCGCCCTTCCCCGCGCGGCGCCGGCGCGTCTCGTGACGTCGCTGCGCGTCACGGCGTGTTCCCGACGCCGCGGCCCCGCCCGGGCGCACAGGTCCCGCAGGTGCTGGCTGGCGCTCTTCGGCCACGCTGGGGTCCGGAGCGTTGGGACTTGTGCTTTCCAGGGAGCAGGTCCCTAGTCCGCAGTCGGTGCGGTTCTTCACCACGCGGAAACGAGATGATAGCTCGGTTTTGGCGTGGTTTGTTTTTTTGGTACTGGGGATTGAAACCAGGGGGTTCTCACTGAGCTACATCCCCAGCCACCCTATTTGTATTGTTTTTTCAACTGCAAATTGTGGCAAAATATGATCAACGTTATTATGTACACATTTCCAGAGGCTTTAGACATGTATAAATAGGGCCCTTTAGAAAGGAAAAATTTAAAAAACAAAACCTTCCAATTTTGTCTTTGTAACTTTCCCATAGCAATGGTTAAAATGATTTTTGGGTCATTCGTTGCAAGATACATGACAGCACCTTAAATGTAGCAGGTCAGGTTCCTCTGTAACATTTTTTTACATCATGTGTTAAGCAGTGCGTGGTGGCGCACGCCTGTAATCCCAGCACTTGGGAGACAGGCAGGAGGATCCTTGCAAGTTCGAGGCCAGCCTGGGCTACAAAGTGAGCTCAAAGCCAGCCTGAACTATGTAGTGAGATCCTGTCTCAAAATGATAAACAAACAAACAAACAAACAAAAAACTGTGTTAAACTTAGAAATACCTATATGTACAGATAGCTAATTTTTTTTTTTTTTTTTTTTTTGTTATTCTCCAGTACCGGGAACCGAACTCACGACCTTGTGCATGCCAGGCGGGCGCTTTTGCCGCTGAGCTAAATTCCCAGCCCCCAGATAGCTAATTTTTAAGCTAAAAAATATGTGCAGTACTGTGGCATAATATGTGGTATCTTTAATAAGTTAATATTAGCCAATTTTTCATAGCTTTTTCTTCCAGTTCACGGGTTAAAAGTTGTTACTGAAGTGCTTGCTGTGGTAGCACATATACTAAAAAAAGTTGTTACTGGAGCTGCCTGTTTTATACATATTACCTGGTGTTTAGCACACAGTGCAGGTTTTTTAAAGACTTACGTTTAAAGCTAAGACCAGTGACATATTGTAGGAGACCAAGGAATGTAATGCAACCATATAAACATGCATTACATTAAAGTGTCTAGATGAGGCTGTTTTTCAGTTTCTTATTTTAAGACATTGTCTTTCTTAAGTTGCTGATCTACCCAGGCTGGGCTTGACCTTTTGATCCTCTTGCCTCAGCCTCCCAAAGTACTGGGAATACAGGTGGGCACCACTGCTCCTGACTCTATGGCTCAGGTTTTGTAGAAAAAACTGACATAGCTAATTCTCCTCTTCACATGAAGAAATTACTCTTAGCTCCCTTGGGCACCCTTGAGCCCTGTGCCCTCTACACACCTGCAGGTTGGTCTCTGGGCACCCCACGGTCCCTGTGTCCATCCACCTGAGGACCTGGGAGCAGCCTGTGACCCCACCCACTCCCCTGAAGGACAGTCCATCATCAGTAACATGTCTTCCTTCTCTGGCCCCTTGGGAGCAGGTGAGAGGCTTGAGTCTTGTCTTCCAGTGTTTGTTACATGAATGTGGGGTAGGGGTGGGGTAGCTCAGTGGTAGAGTGCTTGCCTAGCTTTGGTTTGAAATCCCAAATCATTTTTTTATCATTTTAAAGAGTAAAAGAAGGATTACATAGTAATGGGGGGCTTACCAAATTACAGACAAAGTGGTAGGAAATTACCAATGGTTATTGTTTTACATACTACAAACTACAAGATAGTTTCTCAGGAAAACAAATAGACAAATAATAGTGTTACAAAAGAGGTAGGGAATTATCAATAGTTGTTGTACTGTACTTTGGTATCTTCAAAATGGCTTCTAAAGAGAATAAATAGAGCTATACATGAGTGACTGATTGAATAAACATTAACTGTTCTCTTTTTTTAACATTAACTATTCTCAATGGTTGTTGTAGGAAACACATAATAATAAACATACATCCATTTATGAAGTAGCATAGGAATAATACAAACATTAGAGAGTTATGGACAGATTAGTAGGAAAATGTCAATGGCTGCTGTAATACATGGTGGTATCTTCAAAGTGGTTTCTCAGGAAAACAGAGATATGCAAGAAGGATCTAACAAGCAGTTACAGCCTAAGGGTTGTCAAAAATAGCATATTACCTCCTCACCAGTGATTCCTTTCACTGAGGTGTGACAACTGGAAGGAAGGCCAGGATTGAAAAGAAGGACTGAGAGACTTACACCTGTGTTTAGCAACAGGCTGTTTTCTTATTCCTCCATAGTCATGATTACCTGGGACTCCTCCATGGAGATGCCAGTCTGGCCAGAGGGAGAGGGCAGAGTATGCCCTGGGCCCCTCATTCCTGTTGGACTAACTGGTAGGATGGGTCTGAGCTCTGGGGCCTCCATTGCCTAGCGTCTTTGAGGCCCTGGGTTCCATCCAGTCAGTGTATGGGAAAGTAATTATATCCCACTGTTTTAGTTTGAATTTCTTTAATGACTAATACAGTTGAACAGTTTTCTTTTTTTTTTTTTTGGTTTTTCTCCGGTACCGGGACCGAACTCAGAACACAGTTTTCTGTGTTTATTGCCCATTTGTATTTTGTTCTGGATTTTGTTAATACCCTTTATTTTTGTTTTGTATTTTTGATACCAGGAATTGAGCTCAGGATCTTGTGCTTGCCAGGCAGGCACTGTGCCACTGAGCTATATGCCTGGCCCTCTGTTTATTGTTTTTTATTGGACTGTTGATACTGCAGTATTTTTCTGCCTTCTTTGAACACACTTAATCATTTAGATTGTGGCAAATACTAGAAAGACCTTTTTACACTGCCCAAATGCTTTATATAAATCAGCCCTGAGGAGATAGAGGCTGTTGTTTTCCTTGAGAAATCATGCACAGAGGGGTTGGGAAAGTTGGGTGGGTCCTGAGTATCTTGCCCTGGAGCCTGGGCTGTCTGTTCTTTGTGGTGTGTGCCCAACCTCTGTGTGCCTGTCCAATGTGGTATAATCTTGGCCAGTTTGACTCTTCTTGTTGGAACTTCCTGTCAAGCATCTTGCCTGGTGATAGTTGATAATGGCTGGCATTGGTCAGATATTACAAGGCCCAGGAGTCTGAGGGTGTCCAACACTCCACATAGCTTCTTGCCAGCTTTATGCTAATCCTGAAAGATGGGTAGCACCCCAGCTTAAAACTTGAAAATAAGCTCTCATTTTTTTCCCATGGTTATTGATCTGTTCATGGTTCAACCTACTTGGTTTTGAGGAATGTTCCCTTGGAAAACATCCTTTTCAGGAGATACTTACTATGTTTCCAACGAAGGACTCCTGGAGTACAAGGATGAAAGTATTGATGCTCCAATTTTTCAGAGAAAATGGACAATAGATAGGAACAGACACTATCCATATAGTCAGGAAGTACATGAAAAGTGCAAGTGGGATACTTCTGGGCCCGGGAGGTGGCTTAGAAACCTGGAGGCTAGGACCTGGAGTTCTCTGCTGGGAGCAAGCATCACCCTGAGAGCTGATTGTTCTGAAAAGCTGGCTGTGCACACACTCCAGCCTAGAAAGTCCATGCCAAGACACATCCACAGAAATCACTGCAGGTGGTCACTGTGACAGTGGTTCTGTTTCAGTTGTCCATTCTCAGAGAAAACAGTAAAGGGCATAAACAGTTTCTAAGAAGTAATGTAAATGGATAGAGTGGACACAGCTTACATGTCCATCAGCAGTAGAAAGGATGAATTTATCATTGTGGGTGAGAAGGAATGATTGGAACCACACACAACAAAGACATTTTTCTATTCCTGGTACCAAAAGAAAGAAAAAAAGCCACACACAAAACCTGGGAGAATGGTTGAGGGTGTGATGGAGTAGTAGGAGTGGCTGCTTGGAGCCCCGGGGCTCCTGATTCACATTCTGACTCAGGTCCTGGTGAGCACATCTTACATGTTCCCTCTTCCTGCCCCTCAAGGACCGCTGCTCTCTTTGCTGTCCCTATGAGCTTAGCAACTCTAGGCAAACCCTAACCCTAACCCTCATGTACAATATTTGTCCTTTGAGGGTGCAAGTGTCCCTTTGAGATCCTGATTTCAGCTCCTTGGATGTATACCCAGAAGTGAGAGTTTTTTGTTTTTTCAGTACTGGAGGTGGAACCCAGAGGCACTCTGCTCTACCACCAAGCCACATCCCCAGCCCTTTATTTTATTTTATTTTACTTTATTTTATTTTATTTTTTAAAATAGAGCCTCACTAAGTTGCTGGCCTCACACTAGCAATCCTTCTACCTTAGCCTACTTCCTGTGTAGCTAGGATATAGGCATATGCCACTGTGCCTAGTAATTTTACTCTTGTATTTATTTATTTTATTTATTAATTTTTTTTTGTCCTTTTGAGACAGGGTCTCACTGTGCAGTTCAAGCTGGCCTTGAGCTCACTTTGTAGCCCAGGCTGGTCTCCAACTCGCAACAATCCTCCTGCCTCAGCCTCCTGAGTGCTGGGATGACAGGCATGCCCCACCACACTCAGCAGTTTTACTCTTTCATTATTATATTTTTGATATGTAATAATTGCATTCATCTTGGGGGCCTGGTACATAAACCTATCCCATCTTGATCATTTTCACGCATGTCGTGCTCTATGCTAATGGGTATGGGGTGGTTTGACTTAAATTTCTCTGACAACTAGTGATGTGCACATCTTTCTGTTTGCTTGCTACACATTTGTATCTCTTTGGTAAAATTCCTTCCCTCCTACCTTTCCTCTGTCTGTCCCTTTCCCTCTCTTCCCCTCTCTCCTTCTCCTCCTCTCTCCCTCTCTCCCTGTCCAGCCCCTTTTAGTTTTTATTTTGAGATAAGGTTCCACTAACTTAGCCAGACTTGAACTTGCCGTCCTCCTGCCTGAGCCTTCCAGAGTGCTGGGAGTATAGATGTGTGCGACCATGCCCAAGTTGGTGAAGTTTCTACTTAAATTCTCTACTGGTTTTCTAATCAAGTAATTTTCTTTGTTATTGACTTGTTTGAATTCTTTCATGTTGTGGATTTTGATGCTGATTAAATACATATTTGCATACTCTAGAGGCTGACACAGAAGGATTGATGCAAGTTTGAGGCCAGCCTGGGCTGCAAAGTGAGTTCAAGGCCAGTCTGAACAGCATAGTGAAACCCTCACTCAAAAAGAAACACCCCCTGGCAAAAAA